CTATAAAAACTGAAAGATTAAATAAAATCCAAACTGTACAAGAGATATCATGAAAGGGCAAGAAACTGTCCAAAAAGAGGGAACAATCAGAATGGAAGAAAGGAGAAAAGAAGGAAGAGAACAAAATAGTTAAGATAAATATACAACTTAGACATCCTTCTAAGGACAAGCTTGAGAATTCTGTAGGTAAATGGATGCAACTCGAGATCATATTGATAAGCGAAATAAACCAGCCTTGCACGTATAGATAGCAGGCTGTCTCCCTGGTGTGAGAAACTGAGAGAGTAAATACGGTGTAAAGTGTACAATACATGTTGTAAGATAGGGAGAAATTCTTAACAAGGAGAAAAGAATTATGTTGGGGAAGAGGAAAGAAAGGAAAGGAGAGAAAAATGTAAGTTAGTTATACTATTACTGTCTCTTAGTTCATGGAAAAGAAAGGTTTGTGCTCACATCCACTGGAGAATTTTTTATGCCCATATCTTGTACTTTGAGTAACTACTTTAAAGATAATAATATATAATGTACTAACTATTCTTATTCTCCTATCACCTTATTAGGAAATTTATAAACATTTTTCCAAAAAATAAGAAAGTTGTTTCTTTGTCTCTAACTCTGTTGCATTCGGCACATTTCCTGTAACCTCACTCTCAGCCCTGCTCCATCTAACCTTGCAATGAGAATTGATTCCTCTTCCCGGGTTCATCCTGCCTGATGCGCACGTTGCTCCAGCAGTTCAGGGGAAACACCGACGCCTTCGGCCCTTTCTAGGAAAGGCTCTCGCTTCCTGATACGCCTGCTGAGCCACTTCTTGGGGAGACAGGAGGACTCCTGAGTCACTGCCCGAGGTTTCAAATACCGAGCTCACCACTTTGTAGCTGTTCCATGCTGGAAGGAAACCTCCGTTTGGTGCTGGAACAGACACTCCAGTATCCTTCAGAAGATAAGAATGATGCTGACTTTCCATGGTTGATACAACACAGAAGTAGTTTATATAAGCTATATTGTAGTCCAGAGGTCCTGATAAAAGTCAGTTAATGCTAAGATATCAACTGCTGCTCTGATATCTCTTCTCTGAGTTCTAGTCTGAACCATTCTTAGCTGCATTCATGAAGCAATAACTCTTGAAGCAGTAATTACCCCATGAACCATTTCCTTAACCATCAGGTACCCTTGTTCCAAGTCGGGTGGCGTGGGGTGAGTGGAGTACAGTGCACGGCTCAATTGCAGCAGGGAGCGAGTCAAGAGACATATTTTGGCCTGGAGCCGGGTATATTTGTGTGGTTCTATGGGTGGAAAGGGTTCAAGTTACAATAAAAAAGCATGGTCCCTTCTATAGCCAAAGAAGGACCATTGCACAGGAAGGGGAGGGCCTTCCACAGCTGGAAAAGGGATCATTTATGGGTGAAAGAGAGAAGCGTATGGAGTAATGTGTACTGACATTTTAAGAGCTTTAGGATTTTTTAAAAATTAGTTTTTGGGAAGGAGTTTCGATTAACTTTTGTGTCCTGAAGCTGTTGTTTTTCCCAAAAGTACCACTTAATATTACAATTTCCTAATCTGTAGATGTCTTTGTTTCTTCTATCCTACCTCACACTCAAGTATAACGGGGAATCCAGAAGGTACATATTGAGAATTTATTTAATGGTATTCACCGAGCTGAACACAGGACTCAAGGGCATCAGTGCATCCAGGAAAGGCACCAGCACGTTGGCGCAGCAGCTTGCAGCTCCAGTCCACCGCAGCGGCCCCCACAAACTGGGTCTACCCGGAGGAAGGAAACTTGAACTCTGCCAGGACATAGTAGAACCCCCTCGTACTGCATAGGAGGGCACTGTTCCAGGTATTCCTAGCTGCACCACCTGTAATTGCTTTCGAAAGCATTTGTGTATCCACATTTATGCATCGGATG